TCGTGAAAGGGAATAAAACCCTTTTAAAACCATAACATTTGTTTTAGTCAACTATTCTAGATATATCTGCATTTTTTTTTTCAGTTTTCATGGATAACGTGACATTTCTCCAAACTATGGCGCAGGGGACATTATCCAACATCTCAGCATCTACTCACAGGAACACAGGTATGGAGGCAACTGGCAGCATGTCGTTAAATTATTTTATTATGTGTTATACAGTTAAAGATAATCCTAATTTAAGGTGTATTTTACAGATTTAGGTTTATCAGCTCTGGGAAGATCTTATGAAAATAAGAAACAGAAGCTGATGCTGGAGCTGCAGATGGATTATAAAGCTTATTTGGCCAAGGTCTGCAAAATCTTCTTTAAAATCAGAATCAGAAATACTTTAATAATCCCAGAGGGAAATTACTTAAAAAAGTTAAACAATTTCAGGGCTGAATCTGATCAATCATAATTGAATTGAAGACTGAAATAATCATCACTGATTTAGTAATCGATTAACTGGAGTGTAAAGACTGTTAAATATGCCTTTAACTGACAGAGCGACACACTTAGAGCAGTAATTATACTAAAATCGTAAAAACATATATAAACATTTTGCATTTAAGATAAAAAAAGCTTTTTAATCTGTCAATATGCTCTGTACAGAAGTGGAAAGTTTATTTGGATTTAAAGGACTGATGTGTCATACTTTATTCAGAAAACAGATTTTAAAAGCCGTGTGCATGCCAGGCAGCACAAGGATCTCCCAATACATAATGAGGAGAAAGCTCCAACAAAGGTAGGTGGTTATTTTTTTTAAATTATTGCACACTGCAAAATTTATTTTGAGTATTCATGTCGCAACCACAAATGTCGACATATATTTTTGGGATTTCATTTTGATAGATGGCCTCAGGTGTTTGTTAGAAAACAAACATCCAGATGGGGCTATAAGGGACTGGTTTATTTTTGTTTTAAAATCCTCCAGGCAAAGTTTGGATGTTATCATAATCAAAGATCTTATATTATATTATAGGGGGCAGATATTATACGTTTTTACTTCTTTATGCTCCTTCTCCTCTTTCATTCCTTTTCTGTTGTCACCTGCACAGGTTTTATTATGTTTTCTTTTAATGAATAAATAAAAATAGATAAATGAAAATAAATAAAGATCTCTTGGAAGACTTAAAAATGACTGCTCTGTGAAAAATGATTGAGTTTGAGCTATTTTACAAAGAGCAGTGGATAAACGTTTCCATTGATAGAAGTTATAAACCTGGAAACAAAGAATGCTAGAAGATATGCCGCTGCTGTAGCAGCAAAAGTTTTACTAATCCTTTACTTACGGGGGTTGAATATAAATACAGCCATACTTTTCTGCTTAACATAGTTTCCATTTGTAACACAAATTAATAGCTTCCTTTTTTAACCTGTTTACATTTGTTTAGCTTTTTTTTTTCCAAACTAACTGCAGGTTGCTGTAGCAAATGTGAGAAAGTTTGAAAGCATGCATGGTCTTGCAAAGCAGGTAGTAGTTTTTTATGTATTGGTATTTATATATTTAGTTTTTTATTTATTGGTTAAAGGGAAATCTGAGTAATCTGATTAAAGAATAAGGAAACAAGCAGATTTTTTGTCTGATCATAAGAGCCAAATGAAGAAGACACAAAGTTGGTATAGCACAAAGAAAATTCTCCCTATTTCAGAATTATTTGCCCATATTATTTTCAGTCGGATCCTGAGGAATCAGATGCTGTAACTATCACCAGTCCATACCCTGCCCTGTCCTTCCTGAATACCTCAACAAGAACAACGGATTGTCTAAAGGAGAGTCCTGTCACTCCAACCAAACCGGGAGACGACAGAGCCAGACGCCCAGATATCTTGAGTTGTGGCCCACAGAGGCGGAGGAGATGGCAAATTCCTCCACAGAAGAACAGCTCTGAGGATGACATGATCACAGATGAGGAAGACTTTGATTCCAGACTCCGAGGCAGACGTGACAAAAGCAGTTATGAGCAAGAGTACAAGGAGAAACAGGGTACTCCACAGCCCAGAGGGAGAAGGTGTAGCTTTGATTTTTAATGAAATAAAATGATTTTGAACTTAATTTTCTTTTTTTGTTTGCAATATCTCATCTCAATTTACTATGTTTTGCATGCAGATCTTTGCAAAACATAAGGAAAATGCAGGCCCTTACTATTCAAAAGAAGAACGACAGTGATGTGATCTGGAAGGAAGTGTAAGGACTCTTTTTTTTTACTTCTTTAGGTCTAAACTATTTGACTTTGGAAATTTGGCTCATATAATAAGAGTATGATAAGCCCTTCAAACTACTGCCGGGTATCTGCTTTCTCTGCATGGCATCAAAAAACGCCTCACAAACTTTTATGATCAAATAGTAAAAGTTGAACCATTTAAAGAGGTAGTAACTTGTGAATCTGTGCTTNTTTTTGTTAATGCAGGGGCCGTGGAGGAGCGAAGCGTTACTCAAATGAAGAAGGAGCAGTATAAGCAGGAATTGCTAAGACAAATTGAAGAACAGCGAAAAAACAAGATAAAGTTAGTATTTAATGAGCACGCCCAGTAGTATTGCAATCAGTCTGAGTATTTAAATGGAGTCTACATTTCAGATGTAAGATTTACCAAGAATTAATGAATTTAAAGCACAGATTTTTCGAACATTCTGTTACAGCATGGTGTTAAAATATGACAATGATATTTGACTAGAAAATATATTTGAAATGATATGAACTGCAAATAAAAAAAACTATGCGTCTTTATAAAGCATTAATGAACGATCTGACTGGCAAGAAAGCACCGCTGATTACATCTTTACTAACTATACATCATATAATTTGACATATTTGTATACAATATTAACTGTACAAGGAATAGGATTTTTTTCTCCAAATAATTTCTACCTTGTTTGAATATCTTTGAGGCTAAAATGCTATCTACTGCACTAACAATCATTTTAATTCTCTGAGAAATGGACAAGATAGTTTCATAAGTGTGCAACCCCCGGATCAAGATGTTACAGAGTTACAGATGTAGATGGTACATGCTGAAAATTGTTTGTTATTCCCTATCTCAGATTTTACACTCTCGACTACCCTGTTCAATATGCTTTGTTCGAAAACATTGCAAAACATCAGCCGAAGTGATGCAGTGTGAGATTGTTAGAGAAAAGTTATGAAGCCATGAATCATGAAAACATACCTAAAACCACACATTTTGAATCAGTTATCCACAGCTGCAGCCCTACGTAAGGATTCCTGTCTTAGACAATCTAAAAATGAGGAACATCCTGGTCTACCTATTTTCAGCAGTAAGCAGGGATTCTAACTCTTCATTAATTTACTCAGTTGACTAAAAAGCAATAGGAAATAAATCTAAGGCAGATGTATAACTTTTATATTTTAAATTTATGTTTTTTTATTCTATATTCTTATATGGTGGTTATCTGTGCCCCATTAACAAAGTTGCCCTGGGCAACTGCCTATCTCAAAAACTACATCCAAACTGAAGTGTAAAAAGTTATATTCACCTCAAATTCCAAAAACATGTGTAAGAAATAATAACCTTGAAAATGCAAAAATTTGAATAAACTGATAAAATTATGCAAAAGCTAACAATACCCAAAGTAAAAAAGAGGCATATTTACCCTTAATTGGAGCAGCAAAAAATATTACATGCCAATGAAAAAGATATTTTAAATAAGATAATAGAATTTTTAAACATAAAAGATCTTTTCATCATTTCTTTTTTTGTTTAATAAAAATTACTATGTTTTGCATGCAGAGCTTTGCAAAACATAAGGGAAATGCAGGCCCTTACTATTCAAAACAAGAACGACAGTGATGTGATCTGGAAGAAAGTGTAAGGACTCTTTTTTACTTCTTTAGGTCTAAACTATTTGACTTTGAATAATTGGCTCATATAATAAGAGTATGATAAGCCCTTCAAACTACTGCCGGGTATCTGCTTTCTCTGCATGGCATCAAAAAACGCCTCACAAACTTTTATGATCAAATAGTAAAAGTTGAACCGTTTAAAGAGGTAGTAACTTGTGAATCTGTGCTTGGTATTAGTGAAACACCCCAGCACATGAAGACACCAGCCAGATTCACACCTGCCAGCGACACGAAGGAGAAAACGTTTGCAACCGGGCTCATGACTGGTAAGCTCTGCTGTTTTTTGGATAGAAACATGTATTTTAACCAGGTTATTGACGTTTTTTTTTCTTTTTCCTGTTTTTGTTAATGCAGGGGCCGTGGAGGAGCGAAGCGTTACTCAAATGAAGAAGGAGCAGTATAAGC